CAAATCTACATAAAATTATAGAGAAAATGCTTCTTTTTCTGTTTAATGTCACTAAATGTGTTGAATTTTACAAAAAATATTTATAAAACTAAACCTGAATTTCATCTATTAAATACAGACAAAATATCTGCAATATTAGCAGTACAATAATAATAGCAGTACAATAATAATTCTAGTCTTATTATAGCTCATTTATTTTTATTTTCAGTAATGTTTCCTGCTTATATCTCTTCTATTTCTACTTTATTGTTCCTGCATTTGTTCTCATGTCGGGTAGTTTTGGTTTCTGAGAACCTGAGTTTCTGCCAAGATCAATAAAGTTTGATCTTATTCTGTTTCATGCACTGAACAGTGTCGGGCAGGTGGGTTTAATCTTGTGTCTGATCGTGTTTAGAAAATTAAAAAATCAGCATCGCAACGGTGCAAAACATCCGAAGGCAAACACTCCTCGTCTCTCTGCGTCTGTAGAAAGTTTGCTACGATGAACTCTTGGTAATTGTTTGTTTACGATGACGAACGCTGATGATTTCCTCATTTGTTCTGACCCGCAGTCAAAGGATCCGTCGAGGGAAATCAGAGCGTCGCATTAGGAGGCCGTCGCTCTCCTGAAGTCCTTCATTCACTTCATTCAGTCCTTGGAGGCAGAGAATCCGAACCGGAGGATCCAACGCAGCTTCAGATGCTGTTCTGGTGTCGAGATTCTGCACTCGGTGGATATTTTGAGAACAGAAACTTCCCCCGGCAGCGCAGCGTTGGCACCAACACGTCCTCTCGCAGCCAAACCGCTTACATCCGTCTTTGATAGCGAGTAATTAAGCTGCCACGGAGACACCGGTTTACAGAGAATCCATCTGGCCTACAAGTACCAACATGCAAGTACCAGAAGGACTCTGAAGTCATCTGGTTCAGTCCACGGTGGCTGCTCGACCATTTCAGAGTCTCTCAAACTTTGTAGGAACGATCTGAAACTGACATCTGCCCGTTTTGTAGCAGATATTCCAACATTTTCATCATTTTTCACCCAATGGAAACGATCAATAAATCTCTCACAGGTTGGAAATTGAGCGAGATGCCTCTTTCAGATGTCCACATCTCTTGAAGCATCCGTCCTGGAGTCTTCACATGTTCAGGAGATGTTCAGATGTTCCTGTTGAATGGAGAGAACGCAGCAAATTCTGGAAATCAAGACTCAATATTTTGCTTAAGACGTCACAAATTTAATGAATCTCTTTGATGATCTGTTTGATCAGAGATGGAAGGATCGTCTACTGGTGTCCAACATCCTCCCATTATGATATAAAAAAACTTTCGTTTTAATGTCTTCCTGCTCCTGATCAGCTCCAGACGCCACCACTTCCCAATCAGAATGATTTTAGCATGAAGGGAACATGGAAGGACACCAGTAGACGATCCTTCCATCTCTAACTGTCCTAAAGTCCATTAGCCATGATTCAAGACGTCCATGTGGCCGTTTGGAAATTGTTACCAACTTTGATCGGCCATAACTCCCATTTCTATCAACATATGAAAGCTTTTCTATTTTTAGTTTAGTGAAAATCCACTTTCTTTGTGATTTTTCGGGATGTCTTAAGCAAAAAAAAGGGTCTTGATTGCCAGAATTTGCTGCATTCTCTCCATTCACCAGAAACTTCAGAACATCTCTTGAAAGCATGAAGACTCCAGGACGTATACTTCAAGAGATGTGGACGTCTGAAAGAGGCATCTCGCTCAACTTCGGAAGTCTTAAGCAAAATATTGAGTCTAGATTTCCCGAATTTGCTGCATTCCCAGAAACTTCTGAGCATCTTCTGAAAATGTGAAGACTCTAGGACAGGGGTGGGCAATCCTGGTCCTCGAGGGCCACAATCCTGCATGTTTTAGATGTTTCCTTCTTCCAACACACCTGATTCAAATGATCAACTCATCATCAAGCTCTGCAGAAGCCTGATAACGATCCTGATCATTTGAATCAGGTGTGTTGGAAGAGGGAAGAATCTAAAACATGCAGGACTGTGGCCCTCGAGGACCAGGATTGGACAGCCCTGCTCTAGGAGGTATACTTCAAGAGATGTGGACGTCCGAAAGAGGCATCTCGCTCAACTTCGGAAGTCTTAAGCAAAATATTGAGTCTAGATTTCCCGAACTTGCTGCATTCCCAGAAACTTCTGAGCATCTTTTGAAAATATGAAGACTCTAGGACGTATACGTCAAGAGATGTGGACGTCTGAAAGTGACATCTTCAAAAACTTTTTCATTTCATAAAGAAGTAAAAATACGACAACAAAAAAGAAACCCGACAAACTGCTGCTGTGATTCTATTAAGAACTCCTTTTTCTTTTAGTTTCTGATGCAGCTCAGTCTCAGAGCTTCCGCCTGCAGGGAGGCGAGAACACTCAGAAAACTAAATTAAACACCTCATTTATTCATCAGGTTTCTCCGTCAAAGCCTCCTACACTCTGTCCTCCCGTCGTCAGCGTATCTCCTCGTTTGTGAGTTTTATTTTGCTGTGACGTTGATGCTTGTCGATCGTGATCTCTGCGAGCAGCCCTGCTGTCCTCGCTAGCAGCACGCACATCCACGTCTAAACACTGGAAAGAAGAAAAGGCAGCTAACGCGGCCTCATTACAGGAATACTCTCTCGTGAGCTGCAGTTGAAAGCGACACCAGAGAACTCGGGTCGATGGCGTGCCGCCGTGGAGCTCAGCGTGGTTCATCGGGCCCAGACGGGACGACCACGCTAGAAGAAGGAAGGTTTGGAGACCCAACATGAAGGCCTTCTCGGCTCACCTATGACGCAGAAAGGTTTCCTGGCGAAGCGAAGCCGACCCTGCCACCCTCTGTAGCGACAGCAGCATCCCGCCGACCAGATCCGGATGATGTACTCCAGCCCGAACACCACGATCATCACAAACTCCTGCAGACGAAGGGAAATGATGGTTGATTTAGGCTTAAAAGGCAGGTTAGCTTTGAAAAAAACGCTAAAATGACACCATTTATCCTTGAAAAAAATGAAAAATAATTGGACTTCCAACTTTCCCACGGTCCTCGAATCTGAAGGCGCCATTTTTCCAGCAATACGTGTAGATGCTCGTAAACATATTCTACTTGATTCCCTTTTATTTATTTATTTCTTTTAAATTCAGCATAAAGAAAGTGAACCTTATTTTTTTTGCATATCAGGAGCCTTCCCCTCCACGTTCTGGGTTTCCACGGTAACCAATCCTGCCAAATGTATGATTAATTGGCTGCAAATGGGCGACGCTGAGGCGGTGAAATAAAAAGGCCCGTTGGTTCACAAACATAATGCAGCAGAAAATAGAAGCTGAGTGTGGAGGAATGCTGCTATAGCTCACATAGAAAAGTGCATCTTGGGTTCATGTGAGGATGCCGTGCCGGTTCTATTTGGGCCTATTTTAACGGATTGTTTGTTATTTCTGTCGTTAATGTAGCTGTGATTAAAAGGGACGGTCGAGGCAGGTTAATGCACTCGCTCCGCTTTCTGCTTCCATTAGACGACGCAATTAACGCAATTTGTGCTGCCTTCAGGGCCAGTCCTGCAAACCGAACGCCGGACTGCACGAAAATAAAATAAAATAAAAAAATAAAAAAACAAAGCGACCTCTCCTTTCTGTCGGAGGCTTTTAAAAAACATACGTTGAGTCACGGCGAGTCTTTTAAAAGGAGGCATTTGCGGCTCCTTCTTCCTTTCTCAAGGCAACTTTGAACTCCATCCGGCGCTATTAGCGCTCAAAGCTCCCAGTCGGAGGGCAGACACTTAAACAAATGAGCCACTCATGTAGAAGTCTGACATTTATTCTTCTGTTCCGAGGTCGAGTCTGAGAGCTCGGCGGCGGACGGACACAATCCTGAAAGTTTCCTCTTTTTCTTACTCAGACTGTTTTCTTCAGACGAGGAGCTCAAACAGAAGCAGTGAAGCAGAATCCGCTCAATTAAAAGCATTTCTGTGCATCTTCCTTCTCCTCGTCGTGGTATTTTTTTTATAATCTTGTTAATATTTGTAGGATAGATTGCAAACAGCACAATTTATAAATCGATTTTAGGCATAAAATTACAATTTGCAGTTATTCCATTAGCTTGAATCTATAAAACAGAACCTTAACGACAGAAATCAAGTCGTTCTGATGCATTAAGTGAAGCAGAAAACTGCGTTTTGTGAGTTAAACTGGTCCTTGAACCCAGTAAACTGGAGTTTCTGGGCTTTTTTTCTTCATTTTCACTCGCTGTGGGCTCGTTTTTCACTGCAACATAAAGCTAGTTATTTATTTATTTGTACAGAATGCAAAAAAACATGTAAAATACTGCGACATGTTTGCCGTTCATTCTTTGTAGGGCTGCAACTATTCCAGCTGTTAATAATTATTAAGTAATCTATCAGTAATTGTACTATTTTTTGACGATGTATTAATGAATTTCTCTCAGAAGATCATTTCAGGTCATTTTGTGGTAAACCGTATAAAGTAGCAGAAAGTTAAACGTACAGAAACGTTGAAGGTCGATGGGCTCAGACGCTGGCTGGTGCTCTGATGAGTTTGTTGGACATCTAGAACCCTGAACTAATAAATAAATGCGTGTCGACTCGGATGCATGAGCGCTTTTCCGGTTTCTTACCAGGATGAGCAGGCAGTGGGAGGAGAAGTCCTGGTGGGCCGGGATGGTGGAGAACACCGACAGAACCAGGCAGCTGAAGACCAGGATGAACCTGAACCAAAACACAAAGACAAACGTCAATGACCCGTCAGAGGATCGTCTCCGCCGGTCCCATCACACCGATGGAACCTCCGCTTTCCCTCCAAGACAAACTCTTGAACCCGTTCTGGCATGGCGGGCCGAGCCGACGACCTGGCAGCACAGTCGCAGAACTTATTTTCTCTCGGCAGCGAACCGTGAGCCCGACCATTATTCAATTTCCTGAGATATCAAGTTAATCGCGCTTGTTTGTGCAACATGATTTGCAAGAAACAAGCGGTGAAACTGCGGCTATTGGAAAACAAGCAAACATCCGACCGCCTCCACACTCCGCCTGTCGCCGCGCCGCCAGGAAACCCCGGGCTTCCGTCCTCTTTCATAAAACTCATTTCCAATCACGTAAATCTTCACGTCGTCGTCGGAAACACGAGCCGCGGAGCTTCGGTGGCTCTCGAACATCTGTGTTTTATCATCTGGGATCTGCTCTAAAGGCTGCAGGAAGCCGAAGCTGTAGTTTACTTTTTTTAAAGAGAGCGGCATCCTTCGTGTTTAGACAGCGACACCTGAATCATCTCTAATGCTGAGAAGGACGACCAGTTTAACAGGACTTCACCTGGAAAAGCTCAGGTCAGTACGTCTCCGTCAACCATGAAGAAATCTGACGGAAATCATCACTGTTTTGGTGTAAAAACTCAACACAATATTCCGATGTTTGGCTGCTTTGTTATCCCAGGATTATTCCATTGCTTTCGTCAGACCACCTGTGAACACCCTCGTATTTTCACTACTTTGGGTCGAATTTATTCAACCAAACATCTACTCAGCTCCTAACTACCCCACACCGAGTCAAACAAGTCGTCGGTTTGGCTTCGCAGCTCAAAAACCATTAAAATCGTCTAAAAACTTGCCTGTTTTTATGTTCCTCTCAAGCTCGATTGAGTCGATCCTTAGCCGGTGTTGGCATCAGAAAGAATCCAAACCTGATGCTTTCCTTTTATTTAAATCATTTACTCAACATATCCATGAGTATTTGACTGATTTATGATATAAATTCAGCACATTTTGCTGTTGGATCGCTGAAAAGCTGCAGAAACACGACAAAGGCACTAAAACAGCAACAGTTATTCATGCTGCTCGGTTTTAGGAATAATGATCCAGAGTTAATCTAACACTTGCCAGAAGTCATTAAGCATCAAACGTTGTCATGGTGCCCCTTTAGTAGCTTTACTAGCTATAACTTCCCCGCTACAGTATTCAAAGGTACGAGGCTCCATCTGGTGGAGGAACCAGGAACTGCAGATGATCTAATGGCATCTGTTTATCGACAGGCGCTAAATATGAAACCAGTTGGATGAGATGCTAAAGAAACTCGATCGAGGCATCACGATGTTCCTCAGTAGTTCTTGGGCAGAGTTGTCAGTTGATATATTTCTAATTCCAGAAATGAAATTAATACGGACAGCAGGGCAGGTTAAAATAAGTTAATTTGCTGCAATTACCAGCTTTTTGAAGTCGATTTAGAATTCATCTCGATGGAGGATTTTTCGATTGTTTGAAGAATATTTTTGGTTGGTTACAGATAACTAATGACAACAAGTATTCATTTAGTTTCTATTGTACACGTGGGAAGTAAAAAAATACAACATCCACCCTTAAAAAAACAGATTTTAAACTCTATTTTAGTCATTTCCACATCCTTCTTAAAGCAACTTATCTGGTGAGCTTCAGCTTAAAGTTACGATCCTCAACCTTTTCCCATTTTCTGCTTTTCTTGTTCTTCAGTTGTGAAAGATCTGAACTTCTCTCCAAAAGCTAACGTTACGCTGCTTCTTACACCTCGTTTCAAGTCGAGGTTCATCTTCTGTTACTTCTATCATCATCATCCCTAAACTCAGAGATCTGACGTCACTAAGCAACGTCGCCTCGCTTTCGTCAGTCGGCGCCGACCAATCAGAGCAGAGCAGGGAGGCCTTTAAATTTTTTCTGCACATTTAAAGCATGCAAATATATTCTAGCAGAGCCCTAAAATAAAACTGTAAACCTGCTAATGTGCAGAACGTGGGCTCTTTGAATAATCCTGTTCAACACTAACTGACAGAAACACAACAGGAGGAGACGAGAAAAGGATTCTCCACCGACACGAATAAGCTTCCGATCTCTCAGATTACGTCACATGCGGCTGCCGACACTTTTCTTTTTGCAGATTTTCATGCAGTGACTGTGAATCTCTGGAGCATCTATACATGTGTGATATTAAAACATTTAATTCTTTTATGTGTGTTTTGCAGGAAGGTTTCTGCATCGATGAAGGGAGTGGAGTTAAAAGCAGCTCTGGGGTCATTTTCTTGCGTTTGTGGCTGTTTTGCATGACTTTGTGTTAATTCTATCCCTCTTTTTAAACATTTTGCACCTTGTTTTGGTCTTTTAGGTGCACGTTGTGGTCGTTTTTCATCCTCTTTTGGTCATTTTGTGTCTCTTTGTGGTCACTATGCCTTTGATTCTGGTCATTTGCTCGTTTTCGTAGATGTCTTGGAGGCTGTCGGGATCATTTTAGTCGTCTTTGCGGCCAGTTTGTGTCTTTTGTAGAATCTGTGCGGTTATTTTGCATTGCCTCGTGGTTTTGTTACGTCTTCTTTAGTGATTTTATGTCTGTGTTTTTATCATTTTGCTATTCATTGTGTTTATTTGCCTGCATGTTGTGGCTGTTTTGCATCCTGTAGTCGTCTTTGTGGTCATTTTAACCTTCTTTTCCATCATTTGGTATCTTGCTGTTGTCATTTTGCATCTTTTTGTGGCTCTTTTTCATCTTGTAGTTGTGTTTTTATGGTTATTTGTGTCCTTTTTGTTTTGCATCTTTTTGTGGTCTCTTGACTTTATAAGCAATCGAGGCCCGCCAGGATAAGATCTAGTGTTTGAATGGCTCCTGTGTGAAAGCGGTGGGTGTGCAGAACGGGTCACTGTCCCAAACCCTGCAGCGCAGAGCGGGACCGGGCTGTTCTGACCTCGGTCGGACCCTCGCCGACATCCGGGGAGCAGAATTTTCCACGGGAGGACGGTTACGTCATCTTCTGCTGCTCCGCCGAGGCCTCGCGGAGCCGCCGGAGGTTCACAGCCGAAGGAGAAGTATCAGAAGTTTGAGGTTTGCTCTGTTGACATTTCCACAGATTTGAATAATGCGGCTTTGATTGGAGGAAAACATCCAGTGACAAGCATTGTGGCGCTGTCAGCTGAAACGCAAGCTCCTTGTCGGCGGCACACCTACGCCTCGCACACTTACAAGGTTGTCAGACCGAAAATTACAGAGTGACAATCAACTCCCTTCATCCTCGTGTTTCCGTTCTGAATATATTTACTTTAAAAGCGGCGTCATTAAGCCCTCGATGAAGTTCGCTAATTATCCCCGCGGCGCAACGCTCGGGGCCGGCCTTGGGCTCCACGATGCCCCTCAAACCGGGAACATCTCACTTCCAGCAGAACAATCGCTCTTAACCTTCCAAACAGCGGCGGCTTGAAATTTAACCGCCCTGCAACACAACAGACATCTGTCCGTCCGCCCACTCGGCCTCCACCTCCAAACACAGGCCCGCCGTCACCCAACAAGTGCTGCTCTCATTTGCATAATTTAATTGATTTGTAGAGAAAAATGAGCTGCAACACTAATGACTAATATCCACAAACGGCACCGGCGTGTCAGAGCCTATCAGCAGTCATCACTCTAAATCAGACCTGCAGACACACACACTGCGATCCGCTCTGTTGCTGCTGATAGATATTCATAGAGAGTCAATCAGAAAACCACAACGATCACAAAATGGCCAAAAGACGACACAACAGGTGCACAAAGAGAAGCAAAATGAACACAAAGAAACACGAAAACTGACAGAAACGGCCACAAAGAGGAATAAAATGGTCACAGTAGCGTTTAAATCAGCGACAAAAGAAGGTAAATGACCACAAAGAAATGCAAAATAACCACAAAGACTCACAAAACAAACAGAGCAAGACACAAAGTTTACACAACAGCATGTAAAACAGGCAAAAATAGACACAAAATGACCACAAAGAGATGAAAATAACCATAAAGACAAACAAAAACTGATTGAAACATGAAAAATGGCCACAAAAAGACACAAAACAGCCACAAAGAGAAGGAAGTGACCACAATAAAATACACAAACAACCACAAAGAGACACTAAAATGACCACAAAAAGCCACAAACAGACCAGAATTGACCAAGAAAGGATGCAAAATCACCACAAAAATAAACTAAATGACCAAAAACGCAAACAAAAACAACCACAATATAAAAAAAACGGACACAAAAACACTGAAAGCCGCCAAAAAAAGAGGATTAAAATATCCCAACGGCGTGTAAACCGGCTAGAAAAGCAAGCAAATGACAACAAACAGACACAAAATGAGCACAAATACACTTAAAAACAACCGCAAGATGAACGACGGCAACGAAAAGACACAAAACGACCACAATGAAACGCAAAATAGGCACAAACAGACACGCAACGACCGAAGCAGGACACAAAATGATCATAAAGAGGAACTAACACGCAAAACAGGTGCAAAGACAAAAAATGACGAAAGACGGCCACACGGAGACGCGTAATGACAACAGAAAGAGGATTAAAATGATTTTTTTTAAAAGTGTTCCTTCATAAATACATATGAGCTCTTAAACTGTGTGACTTTAAAAGGAGACGAAGACAAAAAAGTTAAATTTAAAACCCAGTAAAAGAAGTTCAGGGTCTTAAACGTGCTCCTGTCTGTCAGTTTTTATGACTTTTAGATGCACAAGTGTTGAATCCTGTTTCCTCAACAGCAAAGTTAATTAACTGTTAGCAACAACGTCTGATTTTCTTTTGTTTTCAGCTCTGATGTTCACTGTGTAGCAGGTTTAAAACATGAAACACCATCAGAAGTTTGACCGTCACACATGCAGGACAGCAGAGATTTGCAAAAAAAACAAAAACTCAACAGTTTAAACTCAGATCTGCTCAATTACTATAAACCACAGACT